AATTAAAGTTTATTTGATGGCTGTGAAATTGTCATACCGTGTTGTCCATTCACACAGAATCACTCCTATGGACCGTTGGTTACTTGGTTCAGTTGGTTGTCCTTTATCTAAAAAATCAAATCTATTACCTGTATACCCGCTATATTATTTGTTGGCAACTTAAAAGGGATATCACCGATTTCATTTGGCATTATCACCGATTTCAATTGGCATACCACCCAAAAAAACTGGAATTGGCATGGAGGCAAATAATCGGCAATCCACGGCTAGCAGTATCCACTGCAGTACCGCAGAACCAGAGACTATGGCAACCGCAATGGCCAACTGCTCCCGACGAGGTGCCTCAACAAGTAATTTTTTGATTTTGGGGTTGCGGGATGGCGGACCCAGAGCTTCTCTTTCCAACAACGGTGGCTGCGGAGAGATGACGCCAAAATTAATGGGGCGGAGGGGATACCAACAAGGCGTGTGTAGACAGTCAGAGAGGAAGAAGAAGATGAATAAGGTTTCCTCCCCAGGGCTTCTGGTGTCAAGGTATGCTAGAATTATTAGGCATAAATGTAATGTTTTTAGTATGTACTTTGTAGTCCGTTTTACAGAAAACATCTTTGGGTGTAGGCTAATCTCATCTTCAAACTCAATGGTGATAAGTTTGATAGCTACTCTGTGTTTGTAATAATGTCTATTATAGCTACTATGTGTTTGTAATACTTGGTGCTTTTAAAATTCAAAGATTCTAATATATGAATTGATTTGCTTTTGCAGCTAGAGATTCAATTTTCTACCAGATGATGTCGGAGGACTCAAAGTTTTTGATTTTAGAATAAGGGCATTTTCTTTGCAAATCCGGGTAATCACATAGTTATACTCCATATCCTTGCAATGGTTTTCTCTATCATAAAGATCATTCAAAACTCTTGCAGTTGAAACATGTGGTTGGTTTCTAAGTTGTAAGTTGTGATGAAGTGAGTGCTTGGTAGCAACTTCTTTTGACTTGCCATCCTGAGCTAAAGATAAATGAATTACAATTGAGATTGAGAATGAGGTGATGAAAGCAGTTCTCCTATTATTAGGATAATTGACATCATAATTTTTTCCAGCAAGAATATGAGTTCCATCTATTCATTTCAAGTTAAAGCTGCCTAAAAGTGTTGTAGTTATTCATTTTTAATCCATCTTGAGTTGAAGCTACGAATTTTAAAACTATATTCAATTGACTAGCTTTATTATTCCTAATACATTTCCTAATTTACATGTCACTCACTCAAGAAGTGTGGAAAAGGAGATACTAAATGAAGAAACAGAAATATGGGTAGCAGATTGCATTAGTCAAGGGAGTGAAGAGTATAGAGAAGTGGCTCAAGGTGATGGAGGAGTCATCTCACAAGCTGGAGGGTCTCGAGCTAGGAATGAACACCACATGTTTGAAATTCAAAAGGTGCCTTACTCTTTCACTTGCATTTGTAAACTGTATGTATATACACTTCATACTTCATAGTAGCAAATCTTGATGGTTGAATGTGCTTGCACTCCAGATATATTTCTTCACTTTTTATATTTTGTCTACCTTTTTATTTCAGATGTTATGAAATTGCAGTATTGCACAAATAGGATACATGTAGTTTTCTAATAGGTTTTTGATATCTATATCAACAAGATCTCATACGAGTTTCTGGTATGAATGAAGTCTTTTTACTTTTAATCTGCGATAAACAAAACATCACAATTTTCTATTCTATCAGGTCAGATATTTTTTTATAAACATCATCTTTGGTATTTGGTAATCTAGAATGTGGAAACTAATACCAATGGATATATTATTTGAACTAACGGTTAAGGTTTTGAAATAATCTTTAGGTTGGTTAACCGATAACTGTAAGTTCCAATAATTTATCCTTTCGTATTATTGGTCCTAGCTTAGTATTTCCCTGCGAATGTGGAAAAGTTAATGCTATGGAAGTTATTTCATTAATTATTTTATACGAACCATACTAGAACCGGTTACATACTCCTAATTACAGGGGCAACAATTGCTTATAATGGTTAGGCGAAAAAGAGGGAGAACAGTTGGCTGTGCTACCGTGAAGTGTGACGCTTGCGGAGGGAAGAAGTTGACGGCAAGACAAAAGGGGTAAGGATGTTTTCATTAAAATTTTGCTTTCAGAATGCACCGTTTCTATTTTCACCCCAATCAACTAAATTTTTATTATATTTTTAAATTTTAATCATGCTTTTGCTATGTTTATCCAAACACTTTTTTAAACTTTAAAATTTTCATTTTGAAAATGGTACGGAGAAAGTATTCTCTTAAAAACAAGCAACTATTCTAGGCCATTTGAACAATCATTGCGAAGTATTCAGCTCATAAATTAATTGCACAATTCTTTTTTTAATATACTCCGTATTATAAAAAAGAATCTATATAATGTGTATGTTAATATCATTTTCACACTCATGTTTAGGTTGATAGTAATGTATTTGTAATAATGTCTATGAAGAGTTCATTTATTCTTTATATGTTTGAGAGAGGTTCACCTCAACACCGTGAAGATGTGTCTCCTACTTTTCTCAATTACTCAATTTCAGGTAGAGGGCTTGTGCTAAAATGGAATACAGGTTTGACGATGGGTGATGACGTGATGTAACCTAAGGGTTCTCTCAATATATTATTTTATGTAAATATTATTTCAGAAATCCAGTTTTGACTTTTACCCAAACAAAATATTTTTACTCCTGGTAACCTATATTTTATTAGTCAAAATGGTAAGTTTTTTTTATTTGGTTACTTTTTAAAAATTCAAACTTTCATGGATCAATAGTTTTTAATTTGGTTGATTTCCAATTAATGGATAATGTGCAATTAATTTTACTATATCCTAGGTTTTGGTTGAGCCATGTCAAGTAAGCAAAAAATAGTTACCTGTGAACATATCTGATTTGTGCAAATACGTGTGTTTATGTACCGTTGATATTCATTTTAAGGTATGTAACACCTAAGAATGAAATCTCATAGTTTTTATTCGTGCATTAGTAAATATCCTCCTTAGGGTACTACCTTACAGTTGAAATAGCTATCTATTAATCGAATCAATTTTCTGTAATCCCTTCCTTAGTCAACTGATTTTCGGGTTTAGTGGGGGTGATTTCAGGACCACTAATGATTTTCAAATTCCTGGAGTATTGACTGAGATATTTATGTTTTTTAAAATCTATGGTATTCAATTTAGATATTTATAGAATTTAAATTATTGACAAAAAATTAGAAATATACTTCTATCGAGTTCCTTTACATAATGTATGTCAATGACTTTTATATCTTACTGCACCCACACATTACCTGAAGTGATAACAAAGATGATTACCCATTGCCATTTTTAAGTGGAAAGATGAAGGCATAAATTATTGATTTTTGTTCTTATCTTAGATTTGTACAAGAAATCGTGTGACACATAGGTGCACATATTTGACTAATCTCAAGGGCATAAAAGGGGGGAGTGAGAGAATTATAGTTGCACTTAAAATTAATCAAATTCAGCATTTAAATTTTGTTTCTCTCTTTTGCAGATTTATGGACTACAAATCATTAAAAGAGACTAAGAAAATTGTGAGATCCCAAGTCGTGAAGAAAATTGACACTATGCAACCTGGATGATGATTTGTAGGAGTGTAGGTGCCCAATTTACTTTACTAAATGTAGTAGATATACTTTTTATTTAAGGACAATGAGAAGTATTGATTTTTCAGAGTTTTGTTTACAATTAATTATGGAAGTGAGATCCCAAGTCGTGAAGAAAATTGACACTATGCAACCTGGATGATGATTTGTAGGAGTGTAGGTGCCCAATTTACTTTACTAATTGTAGTAGATATACTTTTTATTGGAGTTTTTTTTGTTTTAAATGTTATTCTTTGAATATTCCGTAATACAATAATATTAGATTATGCTTCGTAATTTATTATATATTTCTTTAATAGTCTTTTAAATTACGAAGTATTGCTCTATAGTTATTACGTAGGCAATATTTTTTGTTCCGTGCATCGCACGGGTGAAAATCTAGTCATTAAGGAAAAGAGAAACATGTCTCATTTTTTCCGTTTTGGAAAACGATTTAGTAAACGCGTTCTTCTTTTTCCCTTTCTCCAGTTTTCCAGCAATTTCTTTGGTAAACACGTTTCCTGTTTTCCAGTTTTCCAGTTTTCTGGAAAACTAGAAAAAATCTCTGTTAGTAAACAGGCCCTTATGTTTTCCAAATTTTATTCGGATAGGTTATAAATCACCGGCTTAATCGGAAAACTTTTATTCGAATTAAAAATTAGTATTTATTCGAAATAAAAACCATTATTTATTTGAAACATAAAAAATGAGCAATTATTAAAAAAAAAACTCTAGTCGGATTTGTGACTTCCAAGAGGAGTTTAATCCATTTTTTTAAAGAATCTTACCTGTGGTTGGATTAGCCAGTTCCAATTGGAAGTTTTTTACAAATTAAACCAAACCCTAGCTCCAGTGGGATTTCCCACTTCTGACACCCGTATTTTGAAAAACTCTAAAAAAATCCCCGTATTTTGGCATTGCATGTAACATTTTCGCGTACTTTGGGAAATCACCCTGAAATAACATAAACCAATTCTACTTTTATAAAGTTCCTTTGATTTGCTCTTATGGAGAGCAATTTCGCAATTAAATATTACGTATAACTCACTAGAAAGGGAGGAGTTGGGTGTGATTAACTTTTATAGTTGGTGCAGAAAATTAAGTATGTAAATATGTAATTAGCTTCATCCCTACTCAGTAAAAATTCTAGATAAGTCGTCTTAATTCGATTGACTTCATCCCTACTCAATAATTATTAGTTCGAGTATGTGTAATAACTAATAAACTGATAATTCGATTATTAAGAAACTAAAACTGGGAAGCCCTAATTTTTAGTCGGTTTGCCGCATGTGTATAAAATGCAGCCAAGGAGTGAAGTAGTCCGTACGCATAGTCTTGATTGATACTAGCTAGTATTTCCAAATCTATTCTTTTCCTTTCGAAAAAGGTCGACTCTATTTTAGGGCAATCTGATCGCATAGATCGACGTGCATGGAGATGGAAGGGTCGGCGGCGGTTCCGGTGGGGTACCGATTTGAGCCAACGGAGAAAGAGCTTCTCCAGTATTTGTTCCATTATACGATGGGCCTTCCTTTGCCATGCAAGGAGATCAAGACAGAGGACCTTTACGGCGAAAAGGAACCCTGGGAGATCTTCGGAGATCACCCGGAGGAGGGAACCGCCGTGAAGTATTTCTACTCCACGCTCAAGAGGAAGAGGGCCGCCGGAGCGAGGTTTGAGCGAGAAGTGGGGAAGCCGGCGGAGACGACGGGCGATGGTGATGATGACGGGTCAACGACCCGGAAGAAGAAGAGGATGAAGTCTTCGCGCGGTCAATGGCACGGCCAAGATAGTGCCCAACCCGTCATGGATGATGGGAACGGCGGCGGCGCCGCCGCAGTGATGGGCTTCAAGAGGAGTTTCGTGTACAAGAGAGAAAAGTCGGACCAAAATGGCCGTTGGCTTCTCAAAGAGTATTTCCTCAACGAAGTATTTCCTGAATTTGCGGGCAAGAAGGACTTCGTTCTTTGTAGGCTCAAGAAGAAGACGAAAAAATAATTTATTAATTCAAGAAACCATTAATTAATTATATTAATTCATTGATCGATTAAAAGCTCCTTGATTTGGATCATTTAATTAAAAGCTCTTTTGTTTTATTTGCAACCATGTATATTTTTTAAACTAAGTCCTGCTTCAATATTCGTTCATTAATTTTTTTATTGCATTCTGCAAATATATTCTTCATCTTCTCGCATTTTCTTTACATTTAAATCAGTTATCAACAATTATATATCTGCTCCTATCATTTTAATCATAATCGTGTTATGATTATTTTTACACTATCACCTACTACGTATATATTGCACTTTTTTATATACTATCTCCGTTCCAAAAAACATTGCCATTTCAAAAAAACATTGCCATTTCAAAAAATTTGAACTTTGATTTTGATTAGTACGAAGTATATTATTATGAAAGTTATAAATTTTATACTTTTATGAAAGTATTTTTAATAGAGGACATTTTCATATAAGTTTTATATTATAGATAATTTCCAATAAAAAGATATAGGTGGACAAAGTTTTGAAAATGGCAAAGTTTTTTGGGACGGAGGTAGTATATTTCTTTCCCATTTTATATTTGTGTCATATGAATGTTTATCTGAAAGAATACTTAATTTGATATATATATGTAATAAGAATATTCTTGTTGTAAAAAAGTTCAAGAATTTAAAAAACAAATTAACAGCTTTTATTGTGGCTGAAAGAATAACGGTTGAGAGCTAGCTAGGGTGAACCATATCGTTTTTTGTAGGGAAAAGGGACAAATAAGCCCTCGAACTAACCAAAAAAGTGCAAATCACCCCTTATATAGGAGGCTCTGTCCTGCCGTCATCATTTGGGGACGCTCCTGGTGAAATTTTTTGATGAAATGTTTTTAGCATCATATCTTCTTCATTAAGTCTAGTTTACTCATACCCAATTTCAGATAAAAATTCAATCGGGAAGGCAGTCAAATGAATTTTTGAAGATAACTACGCAGTTAAACAACACAGTATATTTCAGAAAATCTTTTGACTACCTTCCCAGTTTTATTTTTAGCTGAAATTTGGTATAGGTAAACTAGACTTAATGAATAAGATGCTAAAAGAAATTCATCAACAAATTTCCACCGGGAACCACTCCAAATTGTGATGGCCGGACAGAACCTCCTATATATAAGGGTGATTTACACTTTTTTGATTTGTTCGATGGCCTATATGCCTTTTTTCCCTCTTTTGTAAGCCCCATGTCGTTTTTTAAGTTATCTTATGAGGATCAATTGCCAATTTCCCAAATATAATTATTTGCTAATCCTGTGGTGTTAAAAGTAGGGGTTTTGTCAATTAGGCTTGTTATTCCCTTGATCCTTTCACAAGTAGTAATTTTAGATTACTATTTACTAATGCATGCATATTATGAATAATAATCTAAGAAGGAGTAACTAAAATAATTAAAGCCGAAAAACGCTTGTATTAAGTTTATCAATCTTATTTGATTTCATCAGATGATCGACATATAGATGAATAGATGACATATAGATGAATTAGATAGAATATCTAGACCTAAAATTCCCGTTGTGAAAACCGAAAATACTCACCTCAGGCTACAAGAAATTAACATTCTTAATTGATTTCATTAAATCGATCGAATGCTACTATTAATTTAGATCAATATATGACGTTTGTTCTATGATGATTAATTAATAGTAAGAGTTATAAAGAAACGTGTCTCGTTATTAATAACTATATCATTGGTGAAATGAAGGATTTAATCTCCACAATTAAGTATTCAAGAGAGGAGAGGTAAAGTTTGTGGTGGTAGCCGTGATCAACGAGCACATCACTAAGTGAAAAATATCAAAACCAATGCTAATTACCTTTGATATTTTTATTCATCCATCTTAGTGTTTTTATTTTCTTTATCAATTATCACAATATTCAACTCCCCCTTTTCGTTTACTTTGATTTCTTACGTTTACTCACATGCGAAAAGCACATTTTCCTGCGAATAGGAACTTTACTACGCTATACTTCGGTGTTAGCCCCGTCAAATTTTCCGTCTATCCTGTCCGCATAACGTCTGCGCAGGGGATGCAATTTTTCAATTTTGAACTACAGGCCAAAATCTCATGTGTGTGAGAGTTCTGCTGCTTTCCTTCTCTTTTTACTCCTAAGGAGGGAGAGTTCCATATATAGGCTCAAAAACTCTTCCTGAGAGTTTAGCTGTGGAAAAAGTTAAGAAGCTTAATTCTTCCTTCGCTTGAAAAGTGCACCTTTCTTACTACCTGCTTTAAGAGGTCGTTTGCCAACAATGTTTTTCTGCTTATCAGGCTTATCAGCCAGCTTTTTAAAAAAACACGTAACTTTTGCTTTCACGCGTGGAATTGTGTAATAAGCATGTAACACGTAACACGTAGCTTTTTCGCAGAAAAAGTAAAGTTGAAGTTACTTTTCTGACTGTATTGACTGAAGTTACTGTAGATGACCATTTTACCTATTTTTACATATAATTTTTTCTTATTTTATTAATAAAATACTACATCCGTCCCGGTGGACATTGTCAAGTGCATAGTACAACAACAACAACATCCATGCCTTAGTCCCAAAAGATATTGGGGTCGACTAACATGAATCGATACATGATAACACCACCAAAAGGAAAAGAAAGAAAATAAAGATAAAAAAAATAAGTTATTATAATAAAGATAATATAAAACGGGATGAATATACTTAAAACTGATAAAATAAAAAGGATAAAATTAATGTTTATATATAAGGATAAAAGAATAAAAAACAAGAAGAAAAAAGATGAGGGGAAATAATAATAATACGAGATCACTCCTCCACACGAATACCCGTCCTCCACTTTGCTCTCTCCAAAGTCATACCCTCATCCAACCCAAGAAGAAGCATATCACTTCGTACTGCCCTAACCCACGTCTATTTAGGTCTTCCTCTCCCTCTCTTCGCTGCCTCTTCTCCACACATCTCAACACGTCTGACAGGTGCACCATTCTGTCTTCTACGCACATGACCAAACCACTGTAGGCGAGACTCCCGCATCTTGTCTTCAATAGGTGTTACTCCCATCTTTTGTCTGATTGTCTCATTTCTCATGTGGTCCTTCCTAGTATTCCCACACATCCAACGCAACATGCGCATCTCTGCGACTAAAAAGACATTGTCAATTGCATGGTTAGGTGATTTTCCAACTTTGCCCACGACAATAATCTCTCCTTTGCTGTTGTCTCCAAATGTCACCTTCCCACCGTTAAATGGCCGTAGTGAGAGGAATAAAGATTTGTCTCCCGTCATGTGCTTAGAACAACCACTGTCAAGGAACCAGTGATTGTTCCCCCTCACTCGGCGATGTTCCAGGATTAAGGTTTAGTGTGTGGAACCCAGACCTGCTTGGGTTCCATTTTGTATTTGTTTGAGGAATATCTAACATAATCATAACATCTTTCTAAAGTCTTTTGCCGAGAGTGACATTGATACTGTAGATGACCTATTTTGCCACAATGCCCGCAAAATCGGTTATCATATGTATCAACGTATTTAGGTTTCCATGCACCATAAAATCCTTTTGTCCTCTTATTAAAAGTTTGGTTTGGCGTTTGTCCATAACCGTTTTTGTGCTTCTGAACCAGTTTATCGAACCAGTTTGGTCTTGTTCTTGGTGGCTGTTGATCTGGTCTAGAACTGGGTTGTCCTCGGGTTCTATTACCCTTAAAGGGTTGGTTATGAAAGTTTGATTTTTGATTAGATTGAATATCCCTTGGAATATATCCAAGACCTGCAGTACTCCCGTTTACCCTTTTATTGTGCTGAGGAGGACCAGTTCCAGAATAAGGTCTAGACCTGGTTTTGTTCGTTGCACTATAGGATTGATATTCCGGTCTATTTTTAAAATCTGTGCACTCGCTACAAGACGATGAAGATGATCAATCAAACTACCAACACTCAGAATTTTTGAGAGAAGTTTTTCATCATGATTAACTTGTTTGTTCATACTATCGAGCTTAAGAGAGCAAATGATTTGATCTTGTTCTAAAACCACTTCACTGTACTTAAGCTTTTCATCTATTAACTCTCCCACTTTTGTTTCAAGCCTTATCTTGGCTCTCATGGCATCCTCGAGTTTAGTCTCAAGCTCAGTGATTTGTGGTTTAAGATGGTCATTTTCAGAAAGGTTTTGATTAAGCTCAATAGTCAATCTTTTGAAAATTTTCCGAGCTTTGGTTTTGGATAGAGAGTCAAACTTAGATAGAAAATGTTCAAAGTTTACCTCGAAGCTCTCTTGGTCGGATTCCTCGTCAGAATGGGCCATAAGACATAGACCCGCATGATTGGAGTTCTTCTCACTTTCTTCTTCTTCATCATCGGAAGAGTCTCCCCATGCTGCCATCATTGCTTTCTTGAGATCTCTGTTAAATCCTTTATCCTCACTGAACCTCTGGTTGGAACTGAACTTGTTCTTGTCATAGATTCGTTCATTTTTCTTTTGTGGACAGTCCTTAGCCCTATGCTTAAAGGAACCACAAACAAATAACCTTGGTTATTGAAAGATTGAGAATTCTGTTTACCTTGTTTGTTCCGGTTGTTCTTGAATCGTCGGTACATCTTTCCAAATTGCTTTGCAAACATGCTCATCTCATCATCTGACTCACTTTCGGATTCTTCCTCTTATTGGGCTTTCAGGGTTATTCCTCTCTCACGCCTTACATTCTCGGCGTCTTGTTCCTCTTGAAGTCCTAACTCATATGTCAAGAGTGATCCAGTCAAGTCCTCAAGAGTCATGGTGGATAAGTCATTTGCTTCCTCAATGGCCGTGGTTTTAGGCTTCCATACCGGGGCAAGCTTCTCAAGATCTTTCTCACTTGATCTTCCACAGTAATTTCTCTTACAAGGGGTGAAAGCTCATTGACGATATTAGTAAAGCGTGTAATCATATCCTTAATTGACTCTTTAGGCTTCATTACGAATAATTCGTAATTACGCATAAATATGTCAATCTTGGATTTTTTACACGTGAGGTACCTTCATGAGTAACTTCGAGCAAGTCCCACATTTGCTTTGCAGTTTTACATCCTAGAACACGGTTGTGTTCAATAGGACCAAGACCACAAATCAAGTATTTAAGAGCTTG